TACAATCCAAATCTCTCTCCTTCCCCTGCCCACAAGGAAAACAGAACAGAAAAACATAATATTTACTGATATGGTTAATTACTATAGTAATGATGATAATAATAGTAATGCATATTGGCCTGTATGAAGTCCTTTATGGTTTTTAAGCTCTTTACATTTAGTTGTTTGATCCTTAGAGCAAACCCATGAGGTAGGTAGTGGGAACACTAATATGCCTGAAGAGGTGGAGGGGTTTCAGGGTGCTGAACCCCAAGATTGTGACACGGGTCTGCCTGAATGAATTCAACTCAAATCTTCTTCCAGCCAGAGAAATAGTTTATTAAAGATAAAGCATATAGGCCAGACTCCCAAGGAACCCAAACATCAGTGATCTAAATGGGGGCCAGTGTGGATAGGCCAAGTGGATCTTAAGCCATGTGACGCCCGTAAGAACGAGCGACCATGAGAGGCTCAGCCTTTGGGCTTGAGAAATCCCCAGCTTCTAAATAGGGGCTGGGGGGTTAAGGAAGCCAGATGACGCTGCTCGTAAGGACGAGCTGGCATGAGGCAGTCTCAGCCTTTTGGGTGTGAGGAAAGCTCAGCATCAGAATGGGGCAAAGGTGAATCACAAGTACAGAAAGACTGTGGGAGGGATCTAGGAGTGGCCAAGTAGTTTGGGGTGACTGGAGGAGGGGTCTAAGGAGGTCTGGATGGGAGTGGCTAGTAAGCTGGGGTGAACAGAACTCCTGGGTCCTGGACCTCTTGGCGCCTAGCTAGGATTAAGGGTGGGAAATGGCCAAAGGCCATAGGAAGGTAAAACAGTGGGAAAGACCAGTTGAAGGGGGGAGGTGGTTGAGAAAAAGGTCCAGATGTTTGGAAGGTCTCAGAGATTTGAACAGACAATGAGAATAGATAATGAAGGGAACTGAAAGGGGAGAAGTTTGCTTTCAAATGGAGCTAAAGAGAGACACACCGGAGCCAGGTTCTTTTCAGGGCCAGGGAGGAAAGGTGCATATCAAAAGGTTAACAAATGGGAGCCAAATTCCTTTTGGCGAAAAGTAGCCCTGATCTAGTCTTGAGATGGGAGTTCTTACAGGGCATGAATACATGCTGTTGGCATTCTCTGGGAGCTCCAAATGAGCAGGTAGGAGTGGAGACCAAACCCACCAAGAAGCAAAGTTTATTATATTGTTTTTCCTTCAAGACAGAGAAGGCAATGGAAGAACCAGGGAAAACAATGAGATACTGGAAGTATAAGAAGCACCTTTAATAACAATGGAGATAATCTGTCTCATGATGGCCAATGGCCCCTTTGGACAGGGAGCTGATGCAGTTCTTAGAATAGCTGTTCCCATCCCACCTATACTTGCTTCTTAAAAAAGACGACTCTTGAAACTGGAATTAGGCAGGATCTGAATAAAAGGAACATCACCTGTGGTTCTCTCTAGGTTTGTCCAAGGCTCCTGTATGCTTGTGGCCAGCTCTACCCTGCGTAAAAACCCCCTCAGCCTCGCTTCTGCCTCAGGTTTCCACTTACTCTGGTTTTCACTTTAGCAGGAGAGAATATTGCTCATCAGAAGAAATGCTGTGCTTGCTTCTCCAAGTTCTATGCCCCGCCTCTGGTTCCCCCATCTTGTGGCCCTTCAAACAGAAGATGCTCCAGGTGCTTTCTGGCACAGTAATCTGTCCTGCCTCTGAGCATGCTTGGTCCTTCTTTAGAGCCACTTTCACAGTAAACTTCATTTAGAAACTAGTGGACAGTGTGTTCTCCTTATTAATAGCTACCAAATTTCTGATACCCAAAGTGTTAGCTTGCTCTGGATACTCACTGTCCTATTTTAAAGAGTCCACAATACTCCTTTAACGCATTTGATTTTGTTTTTTTTTCCAATAAGCAAAAAGCTAATTTCTCTTCCTCTCATCCCTCCTTGAAAAATTGAAAAAAAAAAACTCTTTTAACAAATATGCACAGTCAAACAAAATAAATTCCTATGTTGGCCACATCCAAAAAATACATGTCTTGATCTCCACCCTGAGTCCATCGCCTCTCCCCTGTAAGGAGATGAGGAATGTGTCATCGTGAATACTTTGGATCTTTGTCACACAGTTAAAATTCGTATATATATATATATATATACACATAACAGACTGTCATATGATTGATTACTGATGTCATAAAGTAATTTCACAATAGAGTTTTCTTTATTCTTTTTTGTTCCTGTGTCTTCCTTATTCATTTATGCTGTGTTTTTATTTTTCATCTTTGTGTGCCCAGTGACACACACAGTGCCTTCAACATGATAAATACTTAATAAATGTCAGTGTAGTAGGCTTTACAGTAGGAGGACTCTGTAGGCAGAAAGGAGGGTTTACAGCCTGGCTTCATCAGTTTCTAGGAGGTGTAGTTTCAAAGAAATAGTGTTGGAGATTGTTTCTTTTTTCTTTTTAAATAGTCTTTTATTTTCCCCCCAAATTACAGGTAAAACAATTTTTAACATTTTTTTTGTTTTGAGTTCCGATTTTATCCATTCTTCCCTCCCCTCCTCCCTCTATGAGACAGTGAGCATCCTGATATAGGTTATACATGTGTAATCATGTAAAACATTTCCATATTAGTAATTTTGTGGAAGAAAACCTAGGAAGAAAGGAAGAAAGAGAAAGAAAGGAAGGAAGGAAGAAAGGAAAGGAAGGAAAGAAATAAAGAACTAGTATGCTTTGGTCTGTTTTCAGACACCATCAGTTCTTTCTGTGGAGGTGAATAGCATTTTTCATCATGAGTCTTTTGGGATTGCCTTGGATCGTTGTATTGTTGAGAATAGCTAAGTCACTCCCAGATGTTCATCTTACAATGTTGCTGTGACTGTGTACAGTGTTCTCTTGGTTCTGCTCACTTCATTCTGTATCTGTTCATTTAAGTCTTTGCAGGTTATTTTCTGAAATCATCCTGCTTGTCATTTCCTATAGCACAGTAATATTCCATTACATTTATATACCACAATTTGTTCAGCCATTCCTCAATTGAAGGGCATCCCCTCAATTTCCAATTCTTTGCCACCGCAAAAAAAGCTGCTATAAATGTTTTTGTGCAATCCTTTTTAGAGACACTTTCAAGGGAAGTGTTTGGAGACAGAGTAGGGATTTTCTAAGTGAGACATGGTGGTGGCAGAGATATTGGGCATGGAGGAGATGATTGGTGAGTGAATCCAGGCTCCCTGGAGGCTGCTGCTGCTTTCGTCCCCTGGGTTAGAGGAACAGGAGTGTCTGATTTTCCCCAGCTGAGAGTTTGGGCAGCTAGTGAAGTACCACTTAAGCCCTCCTTTTCCAATTCCAATTTCAGATTATCAGATGTTTGCAAAGCACTTATGAGCATAGTGCCTGGCACGTAATAGACATTTAATAAAAGTGCATTCCATTTCTCTCTCCCTCCCATCCCAGAGGATGGTTTGTTTTCACTTTGTCCTGGGATAAAATGAATTAGAGTTTGCTGTTTGGGCTAGGGCTGGGAGGTTGGATCATACCTTCTCATTCACTCCTCTCCTGTCCTTACACCTAGACGAAGAAAGATCCCTGCAGGTGTGGAGTCGAGGGCAGTGACTAGTGAGTAGGAGTTGTCTGGTTGGAGAAAAAAAAGGATGTGGCTGAACCTACCTGATAGCACTGAAGGTGGAGTCCAGAGGGGGGAGCACTCCTCCAGTTTCTACCTTCAGATTTCTATCTGGATTCATACAAAAGGCTAGATCCAATTGGATTGTGTCAAATCTTACAAACCCAAATTTCTTTGCAAATCGACTGAAAAATTACAATATTACAGTAGCAATATTGACCAGATCTCTTTAAGAAGATTTTCTTATGACTTAGACGTGCTTTCTTTCAGGGTTACTTCAAAACTGTTTTGGACATATACAGGACTTGAGTGCTCTGGACTGTCATACTCAGAACAGATTTTTTTTAATAGGATGATTTTTTTTTTGGCTAGGCAATGGGGTTAAGTGACTTGCCCAGGGTCACACAGCTAGTAAGTGTTATGTGTCTGGGGCCGGATTTGAACTCAGGTCTTCCTGAATCCAGGGCCAGAGCTCTATCCACTGTGCCACCTGGCTGCCCCAATAGGATGATTTCATCAGTGTGGGGAAATCTAAATGGGAAAATTCCCTTCACCAATACAGATAAGCAGTTCTGTAACTTACAGTCTTAGAAAATTGCCTGGGAGCACCAACAAGTTAAATAACTGTCCATGACCACTTAGCTAGCATATGCCAAAGGCATGGCTTGAACCCTGATTTTCCTGACTCCAAGACCAGTCCTTTACTCATTATGCCCAGCTGAATATCAAATAAGCATTAGAATACTCAGTTGTCCATGCAGGTAGCTATCTGCCTGCAAAAGGGATGGAAGATATCATAAGATTGGTAAACAATGATATTAATAGCTCTGTGTGTGTGTGTGTGTGTGTGTGTGTGTGTGTGTTATCTCATTTGGTTTTCATAACAAACCTGTGAGGTAGGTGCTTTTACTATTATTCCTTATTCTACAGCTGAAGAAATGACGGCTGAGAGTTCAGTAATTTGCCCAAGGTTCCATGCCTAATGCGTGTCTGAGACAGGATTTGAATTCAGGTCTTTCTAATTCCAAGTCCAGTGCTCCATGCACCATGCCACCCAACTGTCTTAGTAAAGAATGCTGATTTCTCTCCAGTGAAAAAGGAAAGTTGAGGGTTATAAATGTTTGGAAATCTCTGCCTCAGACTGACAAGGCGTTCGTGTGTGTTTTTTCTCTAGTTCCGTAGGTGTCCAAGATTAGCTTCTGTTTGCCCATTTCACTTCTATCTCTGCAAATCTATGTTGAATAGATAGGACCAGTATGGAGGTGGGATTTTCTATCAGGCAAGGAAAGTACATGGAGGTGCTTCACGGTCAAGCTCTAATGGGCTCGTGACTGTGGGTGATAAACGCATCTGGAGTCACACCTTACCCTCCTTTTCCCCACACCGCCATTTAAAATCTTTGTTTCTGTTCTTCTAGGTCACTGGCATGCATTCTCTATGAGCTGTGCTGCATGAATCACGCATTCACTGGTCACAATTTCTTGTCCATTGTTTTAAAAATCGTTGAAGGTGACACGCCTTCTCTTCCTGTTAGATACCCAGAGGAGCTGAATGCCATCATGCGAAGGTAGATGAAATACAGGTTTTCTTCACCCATGTGACTTTGGCTTTGAATTTATATTTTCAGGCTTTTGAAAAAAATGTTTTTCTTTTTAAACATTACAGCATGTTGAACAAGAGTCCTTCATTGAGACCGTCAGCGATGGAAATTTTAAAAATCCCTTACATTGATGAACAGCTGCAGGTATTTGTATGAGAAAGATCCAGAAGAACCCTTATTAGCATTTAAATAAAAATCACGAGCCTTGAAGAGATGCTTTTGGGAGGAAGATGCATTAGGATTCATTGGGAATAGGAAAAATGAGATTAAAATGTAGGGAAGAGACTTCTCAGATATGACAGCTCATTCATAAGAGAGGATCCCTGGTGCAAACCTAGCTGTAGGGAGTCAATGTTTAAGATTTGCACGCTAGCCAAAGGCCATCCTGCATGTCATGAGTTTTAGTGTTATTACCAAACACTCAGTGAATATGTGATGAGAAAGACGAGAGAATACTGAAATTTGGCATTTTCCTAGACCATCCTTGAGGGGAGGGACTGTTTCTTTTTAGTCTTTGAATCCCCACCCAGCTCCTGGATAGTACCTTGCATATAGTTAACTCAAAGTGCCAAATAAATGTTTATTGATTTGAATGTAATCTTGCCCTCTTATTATAGATCTTAGTGATCTTTCCATTAAATTATGTGAATTTATTTTAGAATGTAAGTTCCTTGAGGGCAGGAAGTAGTTTTGCCTTTTTTTGTACTCCAAGTATTTAGCACGGTGTCTGGCACAGAATGAGTGCTTAATAAATGCTTGTTGGTTGATTTATGCTGTTTCTGCGTAGATGGCACACCGTAAATGGTGAGCTGGCTTTGTGTAGATGGTCAGAAGGAAGTTGATTATTCACTCTTTGGGAGTATTTTGGTCCTTACTATTTTAGGTTAGAGTCTAACTCTTTTATTTGACCAAAGTAGATCTCAGAGAGACCATTTGTCTTCCAAAAACTTTTATTGCACTCTTGTCTGGTTCAACAAGATGATGTCCACATGCTTTGATTGATGAAATGCAGTTTTTAAGGGGCAGAGGGAAGGGCAGTGAAGTTATCAGCTAATGTCTTATTAAACTATGTTGTCTGAGACACACCCCACTTGGTTAAAGGAGGAGGAAGAAGTGAACAGGGGCCCCATTCTCAGGCTTTTGCTTTGGTTGATGATGTGTTGTTAGTATGTGGATGGTTTGTGGGTTGGAGGTGAAGTAGATGGAAATGTCATATGACAATTTTGTGCCTCCGGAAGGAGTGTTAACTTTGTCAGGATTGCTGTTCTTTTGCAGTGCATGATGTGTAAATATTCCAGCATGACTCTGGAAGACAAGAACCTGAACTGCCAGATGGAATCAGCTCATCTCATTAATGCCGTGTGAGTAAATTGGTTTTTTGTTAAAAAAAAAAAAGCCGCACTTCAGGCTAGAAGATCATTTAGCACATTTATCTTTATAGGTCTGTGAATGCTGAGTTTGTTGTAGGAGGGCTCCCCAAGTCCACGAATGCTGTGCAGAGAAGCAGGGGTGGCTCGGTGACATTGTGTCCCAAAGTCCTTTTCTCCAGTGGAAGCAAATGGAAGTCATAAAAGCTTAAACCAATACACAGCCCACCCATCTGTAGGGTATCACTGTCATTATCTTGCAAATATATTGAGAAATTAATACCCAAAGCATTTAGTGATATTCACACTGATGCACCTTCCATACAGGAAATACAAATGACTTCCATTTATTGTTTGCTTAATTTAAAACTGGCAAAATATTATTCGTAACCCTCTTTTGAAAAAAAAATCCCCGTGAGAATCAATGGAAAATTAAAAAAAAAAGTTTCGCTAAGATACATATACTCTGAAATAAGAACGAGAGAATGGGTGCTTTTAAAAGTCTTTAATTATGATGTCTTGGATTTCCACCTTATGTCATCCAAGCTTTTTGTTTTATTGAGAGCAGAGCTGGTCCTGTGATTTCAGAAGTCTAATTTCTTTTCCATGTGATAGCCCTTCAAATGCTTAAAGACATTTAAAGTTGGCTCTCCCCTCACCAACCTCTCCACCCAAGTCTGCTCTTCTAACCATCTCTAGTTCCTTCAGTCTCTCCTTATATGCCATGTTCTAGTGGCCCATCACCATTTCTCTCGCCCTCCTTTGGATCAAGGAATCTTAGAATTTCAGAGGCAAAAGGGACAAGTAGTTCGACCCACTCCTGAAGATGTTCCATCTCTAATATAACTGACAATTAGTCAATCATGTTGTCTAGCTTATCAGTGGCCTTCCTAACACATGGCTCTCAGAAGCTAAAACAATACTCCACATTTGGTCTGATCAGACTTTTGTTCTACCTACAGCATCCTTCTTAATGCACATTTACTTTCTCGGCCACATAAAAATAACATTGGCTCGTTTTGGGCATGTAGTCCACTAACCCTTGCAGATCTTTTTTCTTATTGACTGTTGTTTATCTATGCCTTCCCCATCTTAGACCTGTAATGCTGAGTATTAAACTCAAATGTAAGACTTTACATTTATCCTAATTAGATTTGGCCCCAAATTGTAGCCTGCCAAGATCTTTTTGGCTTCTGACTCTGACTTCCAACATGGTAGCTGTCCTCTATGGTTTTGTGCCAGTTTCAGGTCTGATGAACATGTTGTCTGTGGCTTTATCCAAGCTCTGTCCTGTTACATTTACATGCTTGGAGTGATCATCACAAATATGCGATTGATATTGATAAAGCACTTAGCATCATGCTTGGTATACAGCAGGTACTTAATAAATCTTCTCTTCCCTTCCCCTATTGATATTGGTATTCCAGCCTACCTGGATGAGAACAGGAAAGGATAATCCGATCTCCTCATTTTACAGATGAGGAAACTGAAGCCCATGCCATTTTCTGAATCCCTTTTTTATTTATGAGAAAATTTAAAATCCTTCTTTCCCCCCAGCCTTAACAGCTATAATATCTACCACAGAATCACAAAATATTAGAGTTGGAAAGATCTTTAGTAATCATTGAGTTAAATTCTTCTATATATGAGAACATCGAGGCCTTGCTTGAGATTTCACACTGAATGTATACTAACAGCACTTAGTGTATTACTTCTAGATCTCCTTACCCTCGGTCAAGTAGCTGTCCCATTCTGGCATGTTTACTTGTCATCAGTGATTCTATCTAAATGGAGGAATAACACCAGCTCATGAGGCTTGGGGCTACTGAGGGCAGTTCAGGTTTGCCTTTAAAGACACTTATGAGGGAACAGCAGCAGAGGTTTACACCAGAAAGCCCATTTTTCTGTGGCCAGTCACCAGGCCACCATGTCACTCAGCACCACAGTTGTTGTCCCCAGGAACGCAGAATGACTAACACACTTGACGGCTTTCCTAGTACTACAATAACTCTGCTCACTTAGTAGCAATTTCTTTAGCATGCATAACACTACCCTTGTGGAAAAGATTTAGACAGTATTATATTCAGGGAGAGTGTTTGATTTATGGCCATTTGACCATGAGGGTATTTTGAGTTGCTTGTATATAAAACATTCGTGCTTTGAAAAAAACTGTGTGAGGAGGGGATTGGGGCCCTCTTAAGTAAGATAAGTGGGAAAGAGAAAAATTTTGAACTCAGGCTAGGTTTCTACAGATAGAAGCAGAGAAAAGAGATCTGTTTCAATTGCTTCATTGAAAATTGGGGTGTTTTGGGCCTGAATTATCAGAGTAATTGATTCAATTTCAGTCCCTTGGACTCATCACCTTTACGTACAGACTGGAAAGTGTAGCTATCTAATCTTAATGTATAAAATCTGGGGACCAGAGTTCAACACTGAGCCTCCCAATGAGTCATCTCGTGACATTGGATTTAGCTTTCTTGGCCTTACTTAAGAGTAGCTAGATTTGGACTCTGATCCCTTTACTCACCTGAGGGGGGATGTTGTTGCAACTTCTCCAGAAATAAATCTATTTGATTATATTCATATTCATAGAGGAACAGGGTAACTTAGACAAGTCAAATCAAAAAGTAGTTCCCAAATCTCATTTTATTCTCCCCTATCAAATCTATTAGAGTTGTGAAGATCCATTTAAGTTTTCTCTTCCCTCTATGACTTATGATATTGTAACTAAACAAAAGCTATTTGTTGAGTGCTAGAGGAAAGAAACCCAACTTTCATCCTAGGCTCTAGGTTGGGTTCCCAATAATGGTGTAAGGGTGAATGTTAGGGTACCAGACAGAATTTTTCAAAGGTTCCCTACTTCAGCACACTATCCACATGAATGCCTTCCCCATATATTTTGAGCTTTCTTATCCATCTTTAACTCCCTGACCGTTGGTCTCCCCATCTGCTGAGGTGAAATTCTCACATTTGGTTCCAGAGACATTCTAGGGATGTGAGGATGTATTGGGGCACATCTGAGGCGTGTCGGGAGAGAAGGCCCATTTAGATAGAAACTTACGTGTTTCTATTCACATGAAAGTAAGTCTGGGCAGCCTAGAGTAGAACCCTACTTTCTTGGGTCCACCTTGGAGAAAACCATAATGAACCAAAGTTCTGGGGTCAGTCTAGGGCTAATGAAGTTATATATCCACAGATAAAGCCATCTTTCCATGCAGACATATAATGCAAGGCTCTCTGCCCTAAAATATTTTCCCCACAGGCCTGCTAATGCCCGAAGTTAGTCTGATGATTAGAGACTATGAACTGAGACCTGGAAGGTATTGTAGACATCATCTGCTCGTGGGATAACAGGATTGTAGCAGGGGCTTTTCCCTTTATTTGTGTGCTGGACCCCTTTGGTGGTCTGGTGAAGACTGTGGATTCCTTCTCAGAATATTGTTTGTAAATGCATAAAATAAAATATGTAGGGTTAAAAGGAAATTAATTATATTGAAATATAGTTATTAAAATGTTAAAAAAATCTCATGGAATCTGGAACTAAAAACTTTTTAAAAGATGTTAAAAATTGTTTTAACATGTAATTGGGGAAAAATAAAATATTTTATTAAAAAACCCCAAAAATTTTCATGGACCCCAGGTTAAGGTCTTATTGATTACAGGATCATAGATCTAGAAATGGGAGAGACCTTCACCGGCCATCAAATCCAAGCCTGGATCATCAAATCCTGCCTGGTACTGGCACTGTCCTTGCGACTGCTCTGGAAACAATCTCTGCTCATATATGTGTATATACATATATGTATACATATGTATGTATGTATATATACACATCTGTGATGAGGTCTAGATTCTTGGGGTTTGGGGACCCCAAAATCATGGCATGGCAGGCCCGAATGAATTTGACCCAAATCTTCTTTTGGCCAGAGACAAAGTTTTATTAGGGATGGGCCATACAGGCCAGACTCTTAAGGAATCTGAACATTAGTGACACCCGTAAAGAGGAGCAGGCATGAGGAAATCTCAGCGTTTAATGGGGCCAGGGTGGATCTTATATACACTCAGATAATTTTGGGTGTTCAGAGGAGGGCCTGGGAGAAAGATTCTGAAGCTGGGGTGAGTTTAGGAAGAATTCCAATGGGAATGTCTGGGAGGTTGAATAGACAATGAGAATAGACAATGGAACAAAGAACTGGAAGGAAGAGGTTGATAAGATCAAAGGTAGAATCAAAAGACTAGACTTCTTTAAAGAGAGATCTGGAGAGCCAGTCTATCAGAATAAAGAAAAGATAATGAAAAGCCAGTTGAGTGGAGTATAGCCTCAGGCAACTGTTTGAGACCAGAGTGAGGTCAAATAAAGTTTAAGGGTTTTCTGGGGCCCATCGACAAGTGGGACCAAAATTCTTTTTGGGGTGAGGGGCAAAGGTCTCAGCTTGGGCCCATACCCCATCACATGCATATACATATACGTATGTGTATACACCCACCCACACACACACATATATATAAATATACATTTCCCCAGATAGCCATATATATCTGGAATGGATCAGAGAGATCTAGTTCAACTCCCCTATTTTACAGATGAGAAAACTGAGGTCTAGAGAGGCCATGCATGGAACAAGTGGCAGAGCCCGGTCTTCTGACTCCAAATCCAAATCCAGTTCTCCCTGATATCCTTTTCCCATCCCCAAGTCTATGAGAAACTGATTCTCCTTCATCTTGTAAAGCCTGGTTGTCCCTGAGCTGCCATGATACCTGCCTTCCTTTGTCAGCCCCAACAGGGAGATGTAGATCAGTCCTATAATGGTGAAAAGGTAGGAACTCTGTAGCCAGGATACAGTTATTGGGGAAAATGAAAATCCCTGGAAAATTTGGATGCAAAATTTATGCAAACTACCTTTGAGAGAGTTGTAATGGGAATGAATGGTCTTACAGCCCCCTGGGTGGGATGTACTTTTTCTCTAACTGCTCCTTGCATCCCCTTGACCCCCCCTTTTCAGTTTTTTTCCCATTATGTTCATTCTTTAATAATAGAGATGTCCCTAATTATGTAGGGCAGCTAGGTGGCACAGTGGATAGAGCACCAACCTGAGTTCAAATCTGGCCTAGATATTTACTCGCTGTGTGACCCTGTGCAAGTCACTTCACCCTGTTTGCCTCAGTTTCCTCAGCTGTAAAATGAGCTGGAGAAGCAAATGGCGAACCACTCCACTGTCTTTGCTAAGAAAACCCTAAAAGGGGTCATGAAGAGTCAGACACAACTGAAAAGCCACTGAACATACAACACATGATCAAAGATCTTACCTTAAGTGGATTCATTCAGTCAGTCACATACAATACAGGATCATGTTCCTATAAATTGCCCAGTTCCCTGTGGATTGCTGCTTGGGTACTAAAAAGACATAAAATACCCGTCGCAATAGACACGAAGCTATTCTTGCCTAACCTCCCCCCATACCAAGTGCTGACTATATCTCAAAACAGGTGTAAGAAGTGTTCCTTTGAATTCCTTGACATCTTTTGACAGAAAACAGCTCAGTTTCTAAAAGTCTTTTCCTGCTTATTTCACCAATGACTGATGAGGCTCAGTCTAAGCTAGGAAGTTATGAATTACAAAAACCAGTCATTAACAACAAAATGAGCAGGTATTTGGATAGTTTACATAATTTGCTTTTAAATGAAAGTCTAATTTGAAAATGATTGCCTATTAGCCACCATCCTACTTGGCTCATTCCCTAACTCCATGATTTCTGCCTTGACTTCCTGACATGTTTCAGCTCTCTCTGTAACATAATGATGCTAATGTAAAATATTTATTTCTTTTTTCCAATATCGTTTGGCGTGGGAACGTGGGTGTATTGTGGGGGCCTTTTATTGTTTGTAGGCAGAGAAAGATCCATTTACAGACCCTGCGGGAGCTGTCCGAAGTACAGAAAATGACTCCGCGAGAGAGAATGAGACTGAGGAAGCTGCATGCAGCTGATGAGAGAGAAGAGAAGCTTAAGTAAGGCGCCTTTCAAGATCTTCACCCTGGTAGATAACTGTCCGGGCAGCTTCTGTAATTCGTCAAGCCAGAGGGATCCGCGTGAACATGATTTATAGTCTAATAGTAGGCACGCCACTCCCTGTTAAGTGAAGGACTGCCTATCAGGCCATTACTGATAAAATAGAATCTGCCATAACTAGGGTAGTGCAGCCAGAACCTCTTCCCAGGCATCAACGTTGGTCAGGTGGGGGCCGAGGACCTGCTTCCTCTTTGCAGTAGTTTTAAAAAGTAGTAACCCATAGTAGTTGTGAGACTTCTTTTCTTATGTGTCAGGGGCCACCAGCTTATACCCCTTATGTGAGTTGGGGGAAAGGCTAGCCCCGGGAGAGTGCAAGGCAGCTCAATCATGGTCTGGTAGAGTTTGGAGAAGGGAGAAGTGATGGGCTCCTCTTTTCCTGGCAGAAATGTATCCCTGTAAGATTAGGGGGAACTAGCAAGCTCTGGGAGGAGTGGGATCAAGGGCCATCAGAGGTCAGGGCAGGATGGAAGGTATAAGCTATGCCTTCTCCTGGCATTACTTGGAGTCCAGTTATCTTTCCCAGCATCTGCCTGCCTGGCCACTCCCTTACCCCCAAATAAACTGGCTCTAAGTGCTGGGATTCCTAGGTGTGGCTCTGAACATAACAATAATTAAAATCCTAATAGCTGCCATTTCTATAGCACTGTGCTATGCACTTTACCAGTGTTACCTCATCTGATCGCACAGCAACCCTGGGAGGTAGGTGCTGTTATTATCCCCATCTTAGAGATGAGTCGACAGAGGCAAAGAGAGGTTAAGGGACTTTCCCAGGGTCACAAAGCTAGTAAGTGTCAGAGGTTGGATTTGAATTTAGGTCTTCTTGGCACTGTCCACCGTGCCACTTGGCTGCCCTAATGAATTGAGAAGTTACATTATAACAGACCCCTTTTGTACCATCAACTAGCAAGAGATGGTGAAATTGTGGAGGGGGTGAATAGGATTACTCCCCTCACTCCCCACTCAGCTGCCGCTTTCTGGGATTCCTTGTGGATTTCCTGTAAGGTATAATAGCCCCAGGGGAAGCTGTCATCTGCCATGTTCTCTGGGGAGCGAATATGCCACAACTCATCTTCCCAGAGAAGAGCTTGTTTGTATAAAATGGTGGACTTAAGTAAGAAGAGGAAGAAATGGGAAAGGAGAGAAGTTTTTTTGTGTGTGAAATAAACCTTTTAAAAAGCACATGTTCAGGCCATGCTGAGAGTTCGCCCTGCTTCTTGGAGGCCATTTCTGAACTGCCTCGGACAAAGCTCCACTATTCTGAAACTGTCCAAGCCTTTTAGGGGTTATCTCGGGCCTTACTGTCAGCGTTCCCCAGGGGCTTCATTGCCACTTATCACCTCTGGGGATGGGAGGTGGCCAGCAAAGCAAAGACAAGGAAGGAACCTCATTCTCTCACCTTTCACTCCTTGCCAGCCTCCCCAGTAAAGCGATTTAGGAAGGAGAAGCTGCTGCTGGCGGCTGAAAGGGAGTCTAGGAAGGATCTGTCCATTTCATTGATTCTGGCCCCACATCCTGTTCAGCCCTGGGTTGTTGAGTGAAAGATATATTTCCTAATCTTACCAAAAAATACCTCATCCCTCAAAAAAAAGAAAAAGGAAAAAGAAAGAAGAAAAGGAAATGTCTTGACTTTGTACAAAGGGGAAAAACAATTTGCATTTTGTTCATAGTCTTTACAAAGATTATTATATTATAAGAATTTGAATTTGAAAACCTATGGACACAGCTGGGCATTTTTGCCAGCATCTTTTGGAAACACAAGGTGAGAGAGAGAGAGAGAGAGAGAGAGAGAGAGAGAGAGTGTGTGTGTGTGTGTTACACCTGCTTTTAGGAGGAAAGGCTATAAAGAACATTTTAAGGTTTTCACAGCATCATCAGGAATGGCCATTTGCAGAGTTATATCTGCTTAGACTTATAAAAATGCTTGTAAGGACAGAGAAATAACTCAAGTAGGAAGGAATGAAAAATGCATTTTCTCCTTAACATATCCTTTATTTAACAAGGAGAAAAGTCTCCACCAGAGTTTGGCATGGGTTTAACTGAAGCAAAATGTGCCGATACATTGCTTTCGTGACTCTCCCAACTTAAAGGTTGTCCTTACCCCTGACATAATAATTCTTCTTTCCTTTTACATGTGGATATCCCAAGGATTGGTGATTTTATAGGTGTTGGAACTTACAGATTAAGATCAAACTTTTTGTGGCTTAATAGATTCCGGATCGGAAGGAACCTTAGAGGTCATCTCATTTTATAGCTGAGGAAACTGAGTCACTGACTTGCCCAAGGCCACAGATAGAGTAAGTTCCAGAGGCACATTTGAACCCAGGTCTTCTGACTGTGCTGCCAGTGTTCTTTACTGGGTACTCTGCTGCCTTCTTCAATCCAACGAGAGTTGCCTGAGGAACCTAGGGGACAAGTGACTTGCCCAGGGTCATAGAGATAAGCTAATAAATGCCAGAAGCAGGCTTTGAACCAAAGGCTTTAAAACTCCAAACCTGTCACTATATGGCAGATATTTCTAGAGCCTGAATATTTTCTCTTCCTGTGAGGTCTAAGTTTCATAAAGGGCTGTTGAGGATGCCAGGAGCATCTTATGTATCTTGGATGCCACGTAAACTCTGGGTCAGAGTTTAGGAGGTAGGAGATGGGAGGGGGGGGAAGCTTTGTCCAGGACCCAGACTTATCTTGGCAGCCAGAAATCTCCCCTCTGTTACGGGAGAAAAACGGACTTAGCCTGTGTGATGCTGGTGTAATTTTTACCTACGTGTATTATGCTTACATCTGTGCACGCACTCTTGATTTGCAGAAAGTTAGCTGAAGAAAAATACGAGCAGAATACCAAGCGAATGCAAGCACTGCGATCCCGGCACTTTCGGCAGCTGCAGGTAAGTCTTCTTGCATGTGTACTGGATGCCTCACACCTGTTCTTGGCTCCCATTCTACATTTGGGTTACCCGGGGTTGGCACCCTTGGCTCACTGCCTGTTGTGGCTTTCCAGGGAAGAGCATCAGGATACATCTAAATGCTTTATTGGTACACATCACTTTAGGCAAATTACTAAATTCAATAAAATTAAAAAATTGTAATTTTAATAAATAAATTTAATAAAATTAAATTCCTAAAATATATTACTATGTAAAAGAGTCGAATGTCTCCATAGCCTAAAAACTTAGAATTGTATATTTGTAAGGGCGTATCCTTCCTTCCATCCAGCCCTAAAGAATCATAGATGCTGATCTGAGAGGGATCAGAGGGCCATATCATCCAGCCCCCTTATGTTACAGATGAGGAAACTGAGGCCCGGGGAAGTTAAGTGAATTGCCCAAAGTTGCAAAGCTAGCAAGGACCAGAAACAGGATTTGAACCCAGATCCTCTGAATTCACAGCAACTGCTTTTTTTTTTTTTGTGGCTATACTATGTTTGCTCCATACTTGCTGAGGATGATAGCACTTATATAGAGCTTTAGTAATTTGCAAATGTTATCTCATTTTATTTTATCCTCACAACAACCATGGGAGATATGTACTGTTATTATTCCCATTTTATGTATTAGTAAACTGAGACATGCTTGGGTTAAGTGACTTGCCCAGGGTTGCACAGCTTGTAAATTTCTGATGCTGGATTTGAACTCAGCTCTTCCTGACTCCAGGCTTGGAGGCTCTATCTACTGTATTACCTGCCTTACTGTGCTGCATTTCCCCTCCCCAAATGTCATTCAAGCAGGGGTCCAGGGTGTCCTGCCTTTGTCATTGTTTACCCTCGTTATGATAATGGTGGCCTACGCTGGTCTGATTTTGCACATACCCACATGCCACCCTCCTGTTGCCTGACAAATGATTTTTGAGAGTCACACTGGAGGAAAAATCCATCCCTCTGAGACCATCTAGTTGGTTAAAGGGAAGGGAATAAGCATTGACATAATGCCTCCTGTGTGCCAGGCACTGTGCGGAGTGCTTTACAATGAGTATCTCATTGGATGAGCCCTTCTAAACTTAGCTAGGCTAGTCCTTGGACATCTGACCACATCACAGAGTCTGTATTTGAAGCCTTTCTGGCTTGGCAGAACTACCAAAGCTTGTACCCCAGTGGCACAGCTTTATCACAGTCTGGATCAAGCACTGGGCTTAGAGCAAGGAAGACCTAGGTTCAAAACCTGCCTCTGATATTGTCTAGCTATGTGACCCAGAGTTTAATCTCTCAGCCTCAGTTTCCTCATCTGTAGAATGAGGAATCACTTTACAATAAAACTGGCCTCCTGGTAAAAGTAATACTTGCATGTAATCGCATTGCTTGGAAGCTGCTTGGATGTTTCAAAATACAGTCATCTGTCTAGGAGGGGCCTGTCCTAAAGTCTACCAGGCTCTCCCATGTCCTCGGGAGGCATATTCACCTCCTCTGAGTCTCTGGGTCATGCTCAGAGCCTCACACATGTTCTGATTCTGCCGGGGGTATATGCCCATTTCTGATCCGCGGAGGGATCCTCTGTCATGATTGGGGCTGGCAGTAGGGCCCAAAGACGGCCTTGTGGGGTAAGGGGCAGAGGGTTGCTCATTGCCTGCCACACTTCTGAGAACTGGCGATCAGGAGCAGATTCAAGGAGGTCACAGCAGGTTTTTTCCTCTTGCTTTGGCTGACCAGGGGTCCGAAGGCTTCCCACAAGGGTCTCTCCTTGCAGTTGAATCTGTCTCTTTTGCTTTCATCCCTAGGTAGAGAGTGGAATCTCTGCTCTCTGTGGCCTCTCCTACCTACTGGAGTCAGTTATGAGTTCATGTACAGGACAGATACTCTCTGTGTCTCACTCCCACTTTGGCTGGGTTCACAGGCATGAAAACACAAGAATACTTAGCTGAATCCCAGCTCTAAATGGGCAACCAGTGGGTTCTGGATGACCTGCAGATATTAGGGGACTATAGGGTTTCATATCGAGGCAGACAAAGGAAGCTGGGATTCCCTTTCCAGAGGGTGTAAACCCCAGGTTCTCATCATGAGTAAGTCACAGAATCCTAAGCACAGGGTTGGGGGGATTTCTTTCAAGTCAGGAGAGGGGCTCATGAATCTTTATTCGTCATGCTAGTCATCTTGAGCTGTCCATCCTCCAGCTCTGGGTGAAAGGGCTCAGCAATTTATAGAGGAGCAGTTTATTCCTAAATGACCAGGACAGGACAAAGACAAACACACAAATTTCCTGAGATTGGAAATTGAAAAGCAAAGACACAGAAATATTTGCTTTAAGGGATCTAATAAGCTACTTAATACTTTATTCTTGAAGTAACTCTGTGGCATCTAAGAATGCAGTTAATACTATCATCTTAAAACAGTGGCATGTCTGATCATTTATTTTGTTTTCTGAGTCCCTTATTTATCTTCTTAGGACACAAATATTTCTTTGTTGTTTTTGTTTTCTGGTATAATCTTTATTTAGGAGAGAAGGTTGCTATGGTATCAATACCTACCACTGTCATATATGTGTATACATATGTGAATATGTATATATGTATGTGTGTGTATGTGTATAGATACAAGTATATATGTATGTATATATCTTTATCTCTATATTTCTTTCTGTATATCTATCTATATCTATTTTTCCATGTATTTACCTGTATCTATCTACCTCTGTCTATCTACCTCTCTTTCTTTATTTCTTTTCTTCCTTCCTTCCCTTCTTCCTTCTTTCATTCCTTCTTTCTTTCTCTCTCCCTTCCTTTTTTTCTTTCCCTCTTCCTTCCTTCCGTTCTTTCTTTTTCTTCCTTCCTTTCTTTCTTTTTCTTCCTTCCTTCCTTTCTTCCTTCCTTCCTTCCTTCCTTCCTTCCTTTCTTTCTTTCTTTCTTTCTTCCTTCCTTCCTTCCTTTCTTTCTTTCTTTCTTTCTCCCTTCCTTTTTTCTTTCCCTCTTCCTTCCTTCCTTTCTTTCTTTTTCTTCCTTC